AGGAGAGGGTAAGATCACCAGGCAGGGGCTGGCCCCTTGGTCTCTTACTAGCAGGCTGAATCTTGTTCCACTAAGTCACCCTGATTTGGAGAAGGGGAATAAAAGAGGGGGGATTCAAGCATGAGCAGTAGGAGAAAGTGAGGATTTCAATTGACCTTCCTAGGTCTGGGCTAGCCAAGAGGACTCACAAGATCCCCAACCCTAGGTGACAAAGGAAACAAGCCACATGGGAGGGAGCCAACTTCTCAAAAGGAGCCCAAAGCCTCAAAGAATACTGTGCCACGAGGCACAGTGTATTCTGGAAGGTAGAGTCTTGAGACTTGACCTCTACTAGCCATGGGCAAATTATTTATTTCCCTTATCTACAGATATCACCCACTTCAGGCTGGTGACAAGAACAAGTGAAACAGGTTACAGGAAGCACCCAGGGTGAGGCCTGCCTCAAGCAAGCACCAGCACTGTGCCAACAGTGCGTGAACATATGTATAAAGAAAAGATAAGTGCTTCTTGGCACACTTGGCATCTCTTGTCTACAAGACAACTATGCCTCAAGTCCATGAACATGTTAATGGCGCTGTATGACAGCCACGCTGAGCAGAGAATGAGGACAGGATGCCCATGCCTAGGTGTGAAGAGAAGAAAGCAGGAGGAGAGCAAGGATTTGCCACGTGCTGGGGATAACCATGTTATGCAGTATCTTGCCCCAAGGAGCGGTACTTCACACATCCTCAGGGTCCAAAAGAATCATGCACAGTGAAATCACCAGGATGGCGCTTCCGCATCCCAGGCAGCCCCACCTTCAAAGGCAGATGTCAGAGACAGGCCCCTTTCACATCATCAGAGATTGGAGGAAACGAAGCCAAAAGCAAGGAAGGTACCAACCCTGAGTTCATTTTCCTCAACTCTCTTGCTTTTGTTTGTTTTCGGCTTTCACCGTGGCCTGGGTCACCATCACGGTACAGTCATTTTCTATATTTTATCAACAACTGCTCTCTCTGGCCTCCACCTGTCTGCCATGCTGCATCCTCAGAGTTACCATGGACCTGCTGCATTGTTTTTGGGTGGACAGTGTGCACCGACAGTGTACTTAACGAAATGGGTGGTGAGTTGGTACCAATAACTGAAAACAAACTTAGGGAAGGTTTGAAGAGCACGATGCTGTTGAGCACCCTTCATCCTTCACAGCTGGTTAAATTGAAGGTGCTCCCTGTTAGAAATCAGCAAGCCATGTGTCTGCTCCCCTCTAAATATCCCTGGACAGGAATTTCATGTCATAGGGAAACAAGTTACTGCACGTGCCCCACATCCTTGAAGACCTCAAATAAAGTCCTAGTGTGAAATAGTTAAACAAGTACATACAGAGTTTTCAGTCTTCAAAGTCTTAGTAAGAAACAAAAAGGCCCATATTGACTCTTCCATTTGCCCAGGAACATTCTGAGAAATCCACACCAATTGATGATGCCAAGAGTTAAAAAATCCATTCTACACCTGTATGTAGTGGTCACTATGGGGTCAAGGTCAGATGCCTCCTGCCCAGCACCACCCTCTATTCCACCCCAAGGACGATACTATACCCATCCCGTTTGCACAGGGACAGCTAAACTCATTCACTGCCCTTGTGGAGGAAGGAGGAGCACAGAATATTCCCGTGGACTGTGTGTTCCCACAGAGCCCAGAAATTTGATGATCTCAGAGGATACCGTAAACAAAGACCCTTGACACTTCCCTAAGGAAGAATGTCTTCTTGTACAAAGGCTACAGCCAGGACAAAAAGCATGTGCTGGGAAAATCTGGGCCTGGCTGCTGCGTATGTTTCCAATTCTGATGTCCCACTTCCTCTTTATAATCACATTCCTTCCCTCCTTACTTCTCTTCTAAAAAGACTCTCTGGCATTGGGGCTCAGTAAAGAGGCAATATGTGATGTTCTAATAAAGGCTGTAAGATAAAAAGGCTAAAATGGATTTCAATAAATATAAAATGCTTGAATACTTATAAGATCTGCTCTACTCCTCTGCTTTTAAATGTTTCCAAAAATACTTATTTTTAAATACTGGCAGCCTAACTTTAAAGTTTCATTTTCTAAAGCCTATACACACAGGCGATCACACAGCATAAAACATTTTTATTATGTCAGCCCTGGTGCATGGCATGCTATATTAAAAAATAGTTTGAAGAGTTGTGATGTCACTAATCTGGCCTTCCAAACCTATCTCACAGTGGTTTTTGGAAGAATCAGTTATAATATATGTGAAAGTGATATGAAATCTGAAAAGGGCTAATCAAATAGAAAATCAAATTGTTATTACTCCTATTTAAAACTATCATAGCATACATTGAATGTTTAAGAGTATGGAAGTCAGAAATAGAGACCAGAGTTCAAATCTCACCTCTGCCAGTAACTTAAACACAAGTAGGGTGTATGGCGCAAGTTACTTAACCTCCTAAGTCTCCGTTTCAACTGTCAAATGAAAATACTGCCCATTTTATCAAGTTGTTAGGATTAATGCAGTAAGAGATGTAAAAAGCCCATTGTACATGATAAAAATAACTAAAACTATTGTTAGGCTATTTAATGAAAATCCAAATATCCAGCTACTGAAAACAGAAGGGAGAGGGAAGAGAGGATAATCTTGCCCAAAAGGAAGACAAATGCTTAAAACAGGGGTGATACCTTCCTAGCCAAACACCACACCACCGCCCGCTCCACCTTCCTCACGATGACAGAAGTGCCCACTGCTTTGCATAACTATGCAGTGACCAGGGCTAGTCAGTCTTTATTCTAACTCCAGGCTGGACAAAGTGATGATTCATCCTATCCCATGAAGGGGGTGCAGCCTGTAGTCAGTGCTATCACATAGCAGGACATCCACCCGGACACTCTGTGGCCAGAAGAGTGATTTGAGAGATCCCCAACTGGTGCCTCTAGGAGCAGAAACACAGTCTTATGCTTTGCATGTTGTTAATGTGTATTCCAATGAGTGCTTGGGAGAAGTCCAACTGTATTTTACAAAACAATTCACAACATAAATGAAACATCCGTAACAGCAAGACAACATGACGAAGAAGTCTCCCTCTGTTCACTGCCCAAGCTCAGTGCTTTGCCAGGCACCGTGTGAGTTGTAACGACAAACAGCTTGACAGCTGGACAACATCCCACTTCAATTTCACATCACAATGGCTCCTGAGGACAAGTCCACTGCTTTTCAGCCTGGCCTGAAAATCTGGCCCGCAAAAAAGACAAACCCTCAGCAGTAGCTTGTACAGTTCTTTTCCATTACCACTTAGTGGGCAGGAAACATTTTTTTCCCCCGGAGTAAGCTCCTAATTTGCCTTTTAAAGTTAAGAGGCTTTCAAACTTGGGTGTTTTTTAAAATAAATGGCCAATGGGGTAGTTTAATAGTGGACACTCAGGCTTACCATAGAAGCAACAGTGGGTGCCATGCCAGCCCTGCCTGCAGTCAGACCACTACCCCTCTAGGTCTCCTAAGTTATCACCACAGTAATTCTATCCTTCAGTCTGACTTTGGGAGGCTTCCACCAGTGTCCCACAGGCCCAAACCATGAATGCCTGGAAATGTCAGCCACCTCCCAAAACAGTTCGCTTGGAGTATCCCATTCAAAACACCCCATTCAATTCCCCAGGCTCCCTCCAAGGTCAGCCAGTCCCCTTGGGTTTCTTGATTCCAATCTAGGAAAGGGTCACTTAACAAAAACCCAAGTGCCCAACACTATTTCATTTAATTCTACCTCTCCCTTAAAAAAATGCCCATTTCACCATAATGCTAAGTGTTCGCTCTCTGATTCCAGATGACACGCAATGGGGAGTGAAAGCACAGAAACTCTTGGCTTCTCAACTCAAAACCCAAAGGCTGGTGTGTGTGCTGTGTGTTCTGGGAAGGACGGTAAAATGATGTTTCAATTCAGTGTTACATCATCTCATTCATTTATTTAGCAATATCTAATTTTTTTGGTGGTTTCTTTCCAAACATTCCTGGAGAACTGTTATACTATATTACAATGGAGGAAATTATTTGTCAAAATTCTATAAAACATGCCTCCTACCCAAGGAACCACTATCTACTAGACAAACACACACACACACACACACACACACACACACCTAAATGCATGCCAAAAAAAGTCTTCCATTGTAACTAACAAGATTTGAGTTCCGCGAAACACACAACTTGTTGCAGCAATAAAACACTCGACCCCAAAGTGAACAAAGCATTACAAATAAGCTCCAGAAACCCACTCTGCCCTCAGAAAAAAATGCTGTGTTTGCAATCAACTCTCCAGGGCCTCTCATCACTCTTCCAGGCCCCAGCACCCTCCAGCACGCCGGTTCCTAATCTGGTTTCCATTCCAGCCCCGCCCCCTCCACTTCCCTCCCCGGGACCGTGAATCAATCCCATCCCGGGCAGGAAGCGGGACCGGGCAGCCCGCTCGGCCGCGGCGGAACAAAGGAGCGGGCGCAGCTGCACGCGCAGGAAGCCCCGGCCAGCCCCGGCCCCTCTCCCCGCCGCCGCCGGGTCACGCCGCACCTGAACCCCGCTCCCCAGGACGCCCATTGTTTTCCCTCTGCTTCCCTTCTTGCAGAAGGCTGCCCTGCGCCCTCCCTTAGACGCGGGCGCCAGGAAACAGCTGTGGGCCAGAGCGAGAGGGGGTGTGGGTGAACAGGAGCGAGACCAGGATTGCCCTCAGCCCACAGGTAACCAGGGAGAAGAGGGAAAGAGCGTGCAACTAAGTTTACAATCTCTCGACTCCCCCTCCCGCCCCCCGAAGCAACCGCGGAGTCGCAACCATCCGGCACAACCTCCAGCGCGCGCGGGTTCTCGCTGCAGCACCCCCTCGCTCCGAGGCGCTCCCCGCGAGGCGCGGCGGGGCCCCGGGGACCCCCGGCACAAAGGCCCGGGGCGCCCGCTTGATCGCCCCTCGAGGGTGGCGGCAGGAATAAGCGGGGAGGGTTGGGGAGCGTGGGGGGAAGCGCTCGCGCTACCTCGCCGGGCGCCGATGCGCCTCCCTGGCGTCCTCGTCCCCGGCGGTGCTCCGCGCCCCTGCGAGGCTGCGGAATGAGGGGCTCCTGCGGCGGTGGCTGGGTGTAGGCTGCGGGGCGGACCCCGTCCCGCGACTGCCGGGCCTCTGCTCGCTCGCGCGCGCCCGCACCGCCTCCACGCGCCGCGCCCGCGGCTCCCGTGCGCGCCCGGCTGCAGAGTGCTCGGCGGTGCGCAGAGCTCGCTGCGGCGGGCGCTCCGGGCCACTCCCCTCTCTCCGGCAGGCGGAGGGGCTGGCCGAGGGGCGGGGGCGGCGACCTCGCAGCCTGGGATTCGCCCTTCGAGGGCCTGCTGGACTGGGAGCCGCCGCCCCTAAGCAGACTCACCTCCGCAAGCCCCTGGCCGGCTGCACAGCGCCCCCCGGTGAGCGCGGGCTGCAGCCTCGGCACCCCGGGGGGTAACCTCGAGGAGGCGAGCAAAGAAGGGGAGAGGTGTGGGTCCCAGCCCCAGGAAAGGCACGGTCGAGCCTTCCACCTTTGTTTATTCCCGGGTTTACTAGCACCAAACAAGAAATATAGTAACTGCGGGGTGGGAGGGAGGTGGGTATGACAACTAGAAGCTAGCCTGGGGGTGCGGGAGAAGGCGGAGCAAATAAATAGATTAAAAACTTGACTACCCAGAAAATACTAATTTGACCAAAGAAAAAAGAATATTGAGTACTTAATAGTCTTTAAAAGTTTTAATATCTGTTGATCCATTTAACCTAACGTTATGCTCAGTAGATACCCGCACGTTCTGTTACAGGGGAAAGAAATAGTCTAAAAGAAATGTCAAATTTCCATATTTATCTGAGTATACTGGATATAAATGTATTAACTGACGTTAGGCAGTGATCAGTAATGGAGTATTAACCTGCGAATTATTTAGGTATGCTGCAGGAGCCAGAGTATCAGGACCTCCAGCTTCTGACTCCAGCCAACCTCCTGACTCTTTGTAGAATTTAGAACAAGCCACTTGACCCAGGTCCTGGTTTCCTCATCCTGGAGGAGGGAAGGGTGCTCATCCAGACTTACTCACTGGGTGAGGTGAGGATTACTTGGCCAAGGTGTTAAAAGCACAGTAGACACAGTAATTATTACTCATGGCTCTAACTACTTTATCCTATAATGAAATAAATTGCCATAAATGGGGCCAGGTTTAAACGGGCTGACCTATATCTGGAAACTGTCACTAAAATGAGGTGAACCAAAGCATTCAGACCATATATAGTAACTGTTCCCACACGCGGAAGAACCGCTGGGATCTGTCAAATGCCACCAATAAAGTTTGAAAAGCTCCCAGGCTCTCTTTACAGCTCCAGCATCACTGATGATACCATCAGTATCAATTCAGGTGTGCAGAAGGCATGATAATAGTCTAAACTAAGACACTAAGTCCCAGGTACTGTTCTTTTGTCATTTGATCTTCACAAAAACCTGGGCCATAAATTACACTCATCATCCTTGTTTTCCAGACCAGGAGAGCCAAGCACACAGAGGTCTTTCAGCTATGAAATAACTGGTGGTTTGAAGACGTTCCTCCCTTTGATGAATGGATTCCAATTGTCCTCCACTTGAATATGGGTTGAACTTAGTTCAGAAGAATAGAAGGTAGCAAAAGTGATGCTCCTGACTTCTGAGCCTAGCTCATAAGAGGAGCCACAGCTTTCACCCTGCTCTCTTTAGGGACACTCATCCTTGGAACCCATGTGTTCCTTGGAAAGCCTTGGAAAGGCTTTCCATCCTTGGAAAGCCATGTGTTCTGGCTGATGGCACCTGCTAAGGACCCGCCTTCAGCAGGTGTCAACTGCCTGCCTTGTGAGTTAGTGAGCCCCAGTCACTGACTGACCACACTATGTGAAACACCTAGAGAGAAACTTAGCCGAGCCTGTACGTGCCCAGAAACATGAGTGATAACAATAAGAATAAACAATTATCACTGGGCTGGCAGTTACACGACAGTAGAAAGAGACACTCAAAACAGTGGCAGGGCTGGGATTTGAACCCAGGCAGTCTGACACCACAGTCTCCAACCAAGCACCCTATTCACACCTTGAGAACCTAGCTTAACAAACCCCCTGGAGATCTGAGCCTTCACAGCAGTCAACATATGAGCCTGCTACCTGATGACATGTTTTAGATTCACTTCTCCATTTTGTCCATTTGATTGTAGGTTCCAAAGTGACTGCAGACAGCAATATAGCAGTAACGGAGCCTCTGACTTCTGCTGTCCAGTCCAGCTTTCCAAAAACAGCAGAAATTGAAATGGCAGGTTCACAAATAGAAAATAATTTGGAGCATGGGGGAATTCTATAACCTTTTGATCTTGGAAGATAGCCAAGTTTAGCAAAAAGTAGGTCTGGGACAGGTATGTGCTGAGTAGGAATATTGAGAGAGCTGCTGGGAGGAAGGATATGGATCACAACATAGTGTGACACAACAATTTTGTCTCCAGAAGGACCCAGTCTGGTGGAGACCCTTGAGGCTTTCTCCCTGCTCTTCAGCAGTTTGGAAAATATTAGAAACTGTTGAACTCGTCCAAATAAACACTGAGAAAATGAACCAAGACAACTATTAGAAAGCCAAAAGTGTTTCTAGAACAAAATTTCCCTTTTAAAAACACCATTAACCTAGTTTTCACAAATCTCAGAATTCAAACTTCTGAAGACATGCCACAAGGTTTTAAAAATACTTTTGCCTTCCTAGCCCTTCTTCCCAAAAGTCAATCAATCAACAACTTTTGAATGTAAAAGAAACAAATTAAAGTTGTTCTAATAATTGTCAAGAAAAGATAATAAATCCATCAACAACACAACCAGTTTTTGCTTTCTCCACAGTTTATTTGGAGGAAGTAGTATATATGAAGAAGCAGGAAAGCCATTATTAAAATTTTAGGGAGAAAAACAAATTATAGGAGTAAAAAATCTAAGAAGTATGCTTCACCTCAATAAAAACATGCAATGATTTACATTAAAACAAGGGAAATCTTGCCTTTCTTACGGAAAAATATAGAAATAAATGTGTGTGTGTGCTCCAGAAAGAGAATTATCACCAAGTGTGTAGGGCTTATTTTTTATTTAGTTATTTTCACTTGGGCCCTTTTTTAAAAGAATGAAAAAGAGTTGCACATTGGGGAAAAGACCAACAAAGGGGTTACGTGAGCTGCTTCTTCCTCATTGCATGTGGCTAGATGTCAGAGTTTTGTATTTTCTTGGGGCTCTGTCTGCAGCTTACTTTAGAAATTTGGCCAAAGGGTGACGCTTTCTGTCCATACTGATTTCACATCACATTGAATATATTGAGGACTACTAGTTCTACAAATCTAAGTCTTTGTTTTTGCCATAGTTTCTCGCCTCATCTACCCACCCACTTAGTTTTTATCCACTTTCTTTATCCTTTGATATCAAACTCAGCTGAAACACCCCAAATGAATACCCCAAGTCCATAACAATAAGAACAGTCTTAGAGAGCTTATTCTGTTCAAGAAAGTTCTAAATGTTCTGTATGTATATTAATTCGAGTCCTCACAACAGCTCAGTGAGGTTTGTTATTATCCATTCTACATATGATGAAACTGAGGCAGAGAAAAGGTAAATTGCTTGCTAAAGGTTATACAATAACATTTGAACCACCATTTGAATCTAGTCAGTCCAGTTTCTGGGCTGACTATGTAGCCTATCTCAAGGCTACATACTTTCTCTCACATTTGTGAGCATTTCCTCTGTGAGTTTTTTTTCCTTTGCCTCTGAAAGCAAGTATTTCTTTATGATTTCTTTAGTATATACCTTTGAGTTTAGACTAGTGCTCCAAAGGAGTGAGGATTGAATTAATCTTTCTTAAATAGTGTCATGCAAAGGGAAATATTTTATAAATATTTAAAGAGTGCTTTGAAAATAAATGCTTAATGTTCAAACTATTACTTGAAATTCAGATTAGGTGTTATAAATACCTTTCTATAGCATTTTCGACCTCCCCAACTCAGAAGTAAAAACTTAACTCTTCCCTGTAAATATTTTAAAAACCAAACATGAGTGACAATAAGAATATCTGACAGTAAAAAGATTGATGGAATTTCTCCTGGTAGGAGAATTCATAAAGCTTTTTAAGGTAAAAAGAGAGGAATTAAAAGAGCTCACAGATAGGGTTTCTTGTAGGTATTAGACTATGAAGGTCAAACCATTCCCTATTAAAATATAATAGTTTACATTAAAACATTTTTGAATCAGGCAGTAAAACCCAAAATCTAGTTTTTACTCTAAAAGGTGCATTTGTCTATAGCTCAGAATATTCTGATCTTAAAAAAACCAATGGACCCTTTGCCAAGAAAACTAAATTGCCTGAATTTTCCCCCTGACATTTTACAATTTAGCATTTTGTCATTTCAACTGGTAAAATAATTGTCTTTTTTATTTCCTCTCAAGATGTAACAAGTTAGTACCATTATTGCAGATCCTTACTGTTAAACAATAAATCAATCTGAAAAATGACTAAACATTTTTGCAATATCTTTTAAAAGGCATTTTCATTTTTCTGTTGATAATTGGGGAGCTTGTCATGTTGTTGCTTAGGAGACCCAACGAAGACTATAAGGAAAGGCAAATATTATGGCAAAGGAAAAAATATTGGCTGTCTATACCAAGGGCAAAGCTATTTAGCAAACATATGAAGTAATATTCTGTTCTTGCTTCAGTCCCTAAAACTAAATAGCCATTTATCTGAACCTAGTGTGTACATTTATCACAGGTATTCACAGGAAACTGCTGATTGAGAAATATAACTCTGTAACTCAAAAATATTTTAATCTATTATCAGCCAAGATAGCATATAATCCAGGTTTAGGACTACTGACTAAACCAAAATTTAATTTGGGACTATAAACCAAAACTTAGTGGCAAGCTTGTTCATTAATTCAGCAGTGGCCTCAACCTTGACATCTGTACAAGATGAGAAGCTCCATGAAGGCAGAATTGTTGTCTGTGGTTCATTGTTATATCCCCAGAGCCTAGGAACATAAAAGGTATTTAATAAATGTCATCAAGCCGATGAACAAATTTCATAAATTATTATTATTTTGGGTAAATTGAACTATGATCAC